AGAGAGAGAGAGAGAGAGAGTCATACCCAGAATTCCGTTGTGGGAAAATGGCTCCATTAACCTTGAGCTAGTTAAGAGTCTTTTTATCTCTGAGAATGAAAAAGATTTTGGGGACAGGGGAAGGAAAGTAGAGGAGGGGGGAAAGGGAGACAGGAAAGGGAGGGAAAGAAAGGAGAGATAGGGAGAATATACACCAGCAAAGCAACAGCAGGAATTTTAAAAAGTAAAACGGAGGATTCACAGACAGTAGAAGCAGTATAGGGTGACATTACAGAGGAAGGCCACCACACAAAAACCACTAACCCCCAAGAATCACTGATTCACTAGGACTGCAGGAATGGGACTGTACCACTCCGGACTAGAGATAGAGCACAGAGAAGACAAAGGACAAAACAACTACATTAGCTTAGTATATACTGCATATAGAAACACACATTGAAACTGCAATGGGACTGACAGCCAAGGACACGTACACACCGTACACATTACAGTTCTCACATCTGTTATTAGATGCCTTAACAAACAGCTGCCAAAAATGAAGTGGAAGAAGAATTTATACTTGACAGTCATTTGGAGTGTTTGACACCACATTGATTTCTGGCAACAAAGACAAAATAGGATATTTTTTTCTTTTTCTTTTTCTTTTTTTTTTCCTTTTTTAACTTAATGTGCAGTTTTCAGTTGCAGTTATCTGTCTGAAGCTTATTAACCCATTCTTTAGTTTTAAAACTTATTGGTTTCAACTTAGAAATTAGAATCAAGGGAAATAAATTCCATTAAGTCAGTCCCCCAAAATACAAACCGTTTTTTTTTTTTTCAGCAAGAAATGAAACAAACCAAAAACATGTTAAATACTTTTCCTTCCTTTACTCTGAAGTGTTATTGAAGTTGCAAAATTAGCCTCAGTTAGACTGAGTAAGGGGGAAAAAAAAGCTCAATAAAAGGCAGTATGTACCTAAACTGCTCCTCAAATCAGTTTGAGTTTTTCAAAAGCCCCTCTTTAAAAGGGCTTTACTGACCCATTAAATTTAATGTGAGGCTATGTTTGTTAGTTGGGAGGTAAAAAACTTTAAGTCCTGCAGCAAATGTTAATGAGGGCTTTGTCTTAACTAACCAAGGAGACTGCAGCAACGGACTCCAGACCAGGACAGAACACATTTTTTTTTTTTCCCAAAACCCAGCCCAGGAGCTGCATTTTGTATGAAGACATTACAGATTAATAAATGATAGCACCATGGTTTTAGAAATTAAGTTAATGTTTCAGTAATTAACATTTAGTCCAACTTTTTTTTTAAAACATTCTAGTCACAGGCCAGAAATTAAGTTTAAGAACCCAAATTATTTTTATGTGCAAGTAAGAAAATCTTAAAATCTTAACCATAAAAAGAGAATTAAATTCTGCATAAAATTCTAAAATACTATTTCCCTATTTTTAAAGGAATTAGGAACAGAAACAACAACAACAAAAAAAACCCACCCCATTTCATTTGACTTAGTCAAACAGGGCACATTGTTTATGCTTGTCTCTTTCCATCTTGATCATATCAAGATCTTTATGAAGAAAACCCAATGGTTGTCACTTGAGAAATCTCTTGACCACAAGACTGAGTATTCTATGGCAGAGGCATATACACATTAAAGACATCTTAATAAAGATGCAAAGGAAAGCAAAACAACCCAACACACATCTTAGAAGAAGACAAAATGGCAGGCAACTGGTCATCTGACCCTCTGAAGGCAAAAAAATAAACATATCTTTACAGGAAAGAATAAGTCACGTTAAAGAAAGAGGGGATGGAATGGGGACCATCGTGTTGAAAGAAGACGCTGACCTGCTCGAATTCAAAGTGCTAGAATTAAAGGTCTAAACGAAAACGCCAACGATGCCTCCTCCGAGCGGACCCTGCGCACCCCCGGCGGGCGGCGCCTCAGTCCTCCTTGCGCTCCAGAGTCTGTGCCGCGTGGATGCCGTTGCTGTAGACCGGGAAGGGCAGCGTGGAGAAGAGTCCCTCGGCCGTGGTGAACACGTTGCCAGCGGGCATCTGCGTCAGGCTGGCCGCGCTCACGGCGCCGCCAAACGGTCCCGACATGTTGAGCCGGTGCACGTGGTGGTAGAGCATCTCCATGGGCGTCTTGGGGTCGAGGCCGAAGCCGGGGCTGTTAACGTCCACGAAGTTAACAGCGTGCGCGTTGGGCAGCAGGTTGCCCTGCATGGCCAGGGTCACCTCGGCGGGCGCATAGCGGATGGTGCCCGTGGTGTAGACCCTCTGTGCCGCCGTGCTGGTGGCAGCCAGGGTCCCGGTCACCCGGTGCACCAGCGGGAGCACGACGTTGCCCGCCTGCAACCTCTGCAGCGCCTCCAGGTCCCCAGTGTACAGCAAGGAGTTGGACGCGCTCGGACCACCACTGCTGCCACCGCCGCTGCCGCTGCCGCCGCCCCCAGGGTGCTTGTCCCGCGGGGACGCCGAGAGCGGGGGCGACAGCGGATCGGAGGCGACAGGGGCCAAGGCCGTGGTGGCCGAGGTGCTGAATTGAGTCTTGCGGGCAGCCGCGCCGTCGGCGCCCGGCGGGGTGAGGACCGAATCCGGGATGGCCACGTGCAGCCCCCCGCCGCCCCCGCCTCCCTGCGGGGACGGGAAGTGCTCGGAGCTTGGGGGCTTGGTCATGCTGTAGGGAGACTCGTTCCTGGAGATCTCCCGGTTGGGCGGGTAGTTCCAGATGCTGCTGTCGTTATCGAAGTTGATAGGTTCCGAGATCTCCGTCTTGATCTTGAGCACCGAGGCACTGTGGGGGGAGGACAGCAGCCGCGGGGGCTCCACCAAGCCTGCGTCCAGGCCGCCAGGGCTCGACGCACTGGACAGGCGCCGGCGACTGGTGCTGCCGCCCTTCTGCCGTTTCCGCCTCTTCTTGCGCTTCTGATGCTTGCTGGAGGCCTGCGCGCCCGCCTCGCCGGCGCTGTCCGAGTCCTTGGCGCTGTCAGACGTGAGCGACTCGCAGTTCTGCAGCCGCAGGTCCGACTCGCTCTCCACGTAGCGCTCCACTTTGATCTGCATAGGGCCCAGTGCACCGAAGCCGTCCTCTGCTGCCTTGGGGTTCTCAAAGTCCGAGTGCTCGAAGCTGTCGTCGCTGTCGCGGCTGTCCGGATTGCTGGAGCTGTGGCCGTCGTCGTTGCAGTTCATGTCGTTGTCGCACGCGTTGCCTGACTTCTTCCGGTCGGGCTCTGGGTCTTCGCTGTTCTCAGACTGATTCCCCTTCTCATCAGACTTGGAGTTCTCATTGTCCTCTGCGTGGGGCCAGCGGCCGGGGTGACAGGGTGGGTGCGGGGAAAGGAGAGACAGAGAGAACATCCCATTAGCAGGGCAGAAACCACAGTGGGGCAGGGAAGGTACCATCTTCTGGTGACTTAAAGCCTGGACTTTCTGTGTTGAGGGCCTAGATTAGCAGAAGTTTTCTTGGAGGGTGGGCATGGGCTAGCAGCATGGGCCTCACCTGGACACCTGGTACAAAGGAAGAATCTCAGCCCCTCTTGGACCCACTGAATCATGTATTGCATTTGAACAAGCTCTCCAGGAGATTCTAAGGCATATTATAGTTTGAGAAGCCCTATAAAGATACCCAGAGAATGAGTAACCTGCAATGAGGTGCTAGTATCAAAGAAAAATGAAGGCATACAAAGTGACACTTTGAGAGGTCTGCACCTTCCGCTGGTGAATATTTTTTGTTCATTATTGAAAACTACACTCTGTTCTATTAAATTATTTTTATCCATAGCACTTAGGATTCACCATCTGATTCACTGTATGACTTTATTTGCTTCTATCTCTTCCCCCATCTAGAATATAAGCCCTATGGTGGTAGGGGATTTTTGTCTGTTTTGTTCACTGTTATAAATAAGAGCAGAGACTATTGTAGAACTTCTGCCATAGTAAAGAACTTTCAAATCAATACAATTTAGGAGGTAGGAAAACAATTAAGATTCTCCATGAGTACTCTTCACTTTCTCTTGCTTTTCCAAGGCCATGTCTAAAGTACAGGCATTCCAGTTGATAAACTTGGAGCACAGGTGCCCTGATGATAGGGGGTGTGGGGGAACTCTAATAACCTCCCACATTTTAGGAAGATTAGATTGTACCAGTAAAAACAGTCTTAGAAGATTCAAGGATGATACTGATTTTTACCACTTTGCCATGACCATTTTGGATGTGGTTGGGATTAGAACATTGGGCAAATCATGTAACTCTCTGGCCTTCACTTCCCTTTTTGTAGCAGAAGAGATGGGGTTAGAAAAGGTTTAGCAATTTTTGCAGCTATAAAAATTTGCCAGTTCTGGGCTCCCTGGCTCTCGAACATCTGTGGAATGGAATTGGGGATAGGAGGAAAAGCAAATTTTTGCATTAATTTTCCTGAACTCCAAGTAACTATTTGCAAAGTCTGCTTGTCAAACTGCCTAGAAAGGGGAAAGCATGGATTTGTTCTGATAATTGAGAAAATGAGTAACAGACCAGGTGTCCTGGCCCATGCCTGTAATCCCTGTGACTCGGGAGGCTGACCAGGAGGATTGCAAGTTTGAGCCCAGCCTTGCCAATTTACTAAGACTCTCAGCAATTTACTGAGACCCCCATCTTAACATTAAAAATAAAAAAGACTGGGGATGTAGCTCAGTGGTAAAGTAACCCTGAGTTCAATCCCCAGTACCAAGGGAAAATAAAACAAACCAAAAAACAGCATCAACAAACAATAAGAAAATAAGTAATATTCTAACAGCGTGACAGGCATTTATAGATGCCATTAAGTATCCTACTTTAGGAGTTCAATCCCAACTTGGTGAAGGTATGAACATTTGTGGTGCAAAGTCAGACACTCTTGGAGGTAGCTCTCTGGTGCCTGCTTTCAGTAAAGAGGCCACAGCGCTATGGGGTTATAGCATAGCTCCTCTACGTGGTCAAGGAAGGTCTAACATTACATAAGTGATTGCTAAATCAGTCTCTTGCCCTCTGTATGTTTATGTTATTATATATATATACACACTCTCTCTCACACATATATATCACAACATACACACACATATTTATATACAATGTAAATATATGCATTTGTATATGTAGAGAGAGGAGACTCAGTAATAACTTGATGTACACATTTAAAATTTAAATGTGTTACTTGGCTTTGACCATGGTCCTTGACTACTGCCCACCCTTCCTTTCAGACAAGGCAGTCATAACTATAGAACATGGAGGAGAAGTAATACCTGTAATACCTGAGGTGTCTTTAGAGTCTGATTCAGAGTCGGATGTCTCAGAAGATTCAGAAGTTTTCTCTGGCAGGTGGGGGAGCTGTGCGATGTCCATGGGCGTGTCCTTGTATTCAGGATTACTGTGGGGGAGGGAGACATTGCTCAGGAGTGCAGTCACCTTTTCTGAATGGTTTGCTTTGGACCACCTTCTCCCAAAATTGTGGAGTTTAGAAAGTTTAGGAGACTAAAGAGGAAATCATTTCTCAGCTCTTCATGGGACTTTTACAGACGCCTATATTGCATGAGCCAGGGTACAGGTGCACCCTGCGACAATGATTGAATACCCAAATGCTGCATGAAAGCCACTAAAAACCTTTTAAATAATCAGGTACCACTGGAGGCCAGGGAACTGTGCTGCTTGACATTCCTCCCAGTATAACCCCTGGGGGGCTGGGAGAATGAGAAGTACTCTCAACAATTCATTCCCATACCTCCTGGTGTGCCCTACCTTCTCTTGGGCTCTTAATGAGTCCATTGCCTCAGTACCCTTGTCTTGGCCCCTTGATGTAACTTCTCAGCTGTTCAGATAGTTCCAAAGCTATTGGTGGGGGTGGGGGGCAGAATCTTCAGTGCCTAACGATCTGACAGATGCACAGGTGTACCTTGGGATGCATGGATTATGGCTACTGAACTGTCAACACACCCATTACAATCACATTTTCATCTGCTCATGTGGTGTACACCTGTGGCTTGTTAGCTGGGAATCTGATTGCAGTGGGGAGAGTCCCAGTGTGAGAGAGGCCCTAACAGAATGGATCTAACCCCATTTGCACAAATGTGCTTAATTTTTGGTCTATTTTTAATTCAGAAACAAGCCTCTTCTGGAAAAGAGAGCATGTTCGGTCAGTTCGAGAGCTAGTTGTCTTCTGGAAAAGCCACTTCCAGCTGGCCTGAAAGTGTGTGAGCAACATAGGCTGCTGAAATCTGAAGGCACAGGGAGGCATCCTGCCTTGGAACAGGAAATGCCTCTTCTATCCTTCCTGGATGGCCAGCCAAGCAGAGACTTACAACAGATGATTACTGATTTGTTTTGCTAGCCTGCAGTGAATTTCCTATGTTAAAGAGTCACTATTTCAGTAACTACTTTAAAAACTGCAGATGTCCCTGGGAGAATTAATTCACAAAGATGGATTATCAGGCATTTACTCCTTAGTGTGAATTAGCTTCAGCAACAAAACTTTCTCCTGATAATCAGATGAGACTAATGGTAGGAAGGTGGACTTAGCACTTTGCTGTCTCTGAATACTCTGAGTCTATAATTCTATTCCAAGTTATAAGGGAATGGGAAGAATATTAGGCAGGTAATTTCAGAATAGAGAAGGATGAGCCAGGATGGGACCCAGAAGTAAGGGATTCTGGAACAAAAGACAGTAGGAAAGTATTGCTTGGGAAAGAACAAAAGATCAGAATTTGGGAAAGAAAGCCAAACTTCAGTAGTTGCTATTTTGTCTAGGCAACGTCTTTTTCTAAGTAGATCTCCAGCCTACAGAATGACCTTCATGGGTGCTGGCTTGGTGGAATTTCCTCTGCTAAAAATCCATCAACATCAGTGTTCTTTACTCCAGATACCATGGGAGTTCAAGGGTCAGTGTCCTTCAGCTTACTGTCTCATATCATCAACCTCAGGGTAGGTCTACCACATCTGAGACTCAGGCTCTGAAGATTGAAGCCTGGTCTATGATACTCAAACTACCCCCTATCCATATGGAATTCGGTGAAACAGAATTACCAAAGGCTTATGTACCATTTGACTCTTGGCTAGATCAATGGTATTGATCCAAGGTTGTATAGATTGACTTTTCCTAACTCTTCTTACTCCCTCCATTTGTGGACAGAATAGGAAGTCATGAGGCTGATGAGACAGTAGGAAAGATTTAGATAGAAAAATATCTCACAGAATGGGCATAACCACCACATAGATGACTTCAGTACCTTATGTTAACATGGAAGACAGACACTTTCCAGCCTATAATGTTCTTGTCATCAATGCTTATTTCTTAATAGTGGTGGGTGTCATTGGCACAGCACCATTTTTGCTCAGCCAAAAGAATGTCAATCCCACAATACCTTGTTCTATTTTCTGTTTGTTATAAAAGCTTTTATAACTTTCTAAAGGGGATAGTTTGCATGAAAATCAAGTCTCGGAGAAAATGGCATTAAATACACATACTTTTACTTTTAGAGGGAATTAATACAGAGCAGCAAAGGTCAAAAAAGGAAAAGAAAGTAGATAAATGAAGATTCTTTTAAGTGGTACCCATTAAGGCCCTCTCTAGAGCAATAATCATTAGTGTCTGATTGACACTAATGTCTTTGGAAGCAAGCACATTCATGCCTTCAAGTCATCACCAAAGTATGTGAAACACTGACAGGCCAGCATGCTGGTGAGCCATGGTTGTTAGCATCTCAGGTGTAGTTGGCTGTCTCAAAGAAAAATGGGGATTCAGGTAGTCCCAATCAACATTATCCACACAGGGCACCAACTTCTGCTCATTAGACCTATTGGATGTTTTCTCCTCAAACCATATGTGGGCCCTGCTTGGTGGCTTTAAAAGACTGGAATGACAGTGGTGGCAGAGAGCCAAGCCAAGCATTGTGATAGCTTCATGACAGGATTAGAGCATCTCCCAGAAGGCTTTTCCCCCAAACCCAGACCACCCTGTCTGTTGATACTGGTTCCTTTCCCACTTGCTTGAATCCAAAAGCAGAGTATAGATAGGAAAAGAGAGAGAAAAGGTGTCTCATACCAGAATTTAGGAGGCAGTTGACCTTGAACTCATACATGGATATAAATTTGAGGATACATTGTAAGAGCAGTAAAGCTTTCCTGAGTTCACAGAGCAGTAGGCAAAAGATTGTCTTCATTTTTTTTTATACTGAGATTGTCATTATTCTGGCAAAGCCACTCACTTTACCTCAATATCTAGAGAATCATATGCTCTGAAATAGGCTGGGAGCATCAAAAGGATGAAATACAAGAGGAATATATTCTACCCTGCTACTTCTCCCCACATCTCCTTTTGAGCTTAATTCTCACAAGGCTGGGAGTATGTGGTGGAGGATAAGGAGTTGCTTTTTTAATGCTTCAGTTGCAGACAAAGGTCCATAGTCTTTTTCTGGTCTGAGCATTTGTGAGGAGATCAAAGCAACCTCTTTGGAGCTGATCATATGTCGACAACCTAAGAATTACTGAGCATCTTGCAAATCTTCTCTGCAAGATCCTTGCAAAAGTTTGATCTTACATTTCTTTGACTCTCATGGAACTAAGAGCAGAACTTCCATGAAATTCCATACCAAGTAACATCTAAAGATAATACTTTCTACAACATGCCAGCTATTAACTATAGGGCTGCACAGTTTATAATTGAGACAGAAATAAAACAAGGAGAAAATATACCTAAGGAGATAATTCACCCAGATGATGTTCTTTTCATTTGCATTCTTGGCATTGATAGCTATGGTGGCACTAGACTGTATCCAGATATATCCTCCGTTCTTCTGCATCCAACGGTAATACTTCGTCACACACTGACCCTTATTCAGCACTAGGGGGGGAAAAAGCAAGATAGAGGCATCATATTAAGACTGGGGCCAAATGATTTTTCATTCCTGCAAAATCTTAAGTCTCAAAACAGAAGGTCCTGTACCAAGCCAGGGGTGCTCCTCTGTGTACTTAATGTAGGATCCCATTAGTAGGACAAATGAAATCAACAATTCAGTGGAGCGGCAGCTCTGGAGCCAGGGTTACTGGCATTAGTAGCAAGACTCTATTCCATTCGGGGCAGCCATGGTGTGAAAGGAAGCATAAAAGGACCACAAATCTTTTTGGCTCGAAGAATACCTAATGTGGTGTGGATATTGTCAATGGGTTTGATGTCAAATGGTAAGAAGGCAAATTTGTATGTGATTTATTCATAGTTTCAAGATAGCGCTCTTTTGAGGTTCTGGAGATTTGGTTCCAAAGCCGTTTTACCCCTCTCCTTTGGTCATTTGCCCTCAGTGCAAGCAGTATCAACTGGCATCCTTCTACACCTGGTCCTTTGATCTTGTCTAACAGCATTTATAGTCCCTGGATGAACTAAATTTACATTGGTCAGTCAGGGGAAATTCTGGTGAGACCGCTGAAGGTTGGAACAAAATAAATCCCCCAGTCGAGTCAGAGAAAAACATTGGCCTAAGGGAGGCACAGAATTGACTTGGCTAGAGCCAAACAGAGTGACAGCTCCACACAGACTCTGAAATATGGCCCAAAATGAAGGAACAAGTAAAAACAATCACTAATGTGAAACGGTGCCATTAAATACCCACTGAAAGGGAGCTTTAAAATGCAGATGTTAAAAATGATACTTTAACCAAAATCTTGCCAAGTTGAAATTGATTTGATTTGTATCTGGGTAGTCCTGAGCTAGTAAAAGGGGAAAGTGCAGTAAATCATCCTTTGAAATAAAGTGCTATGGATGGGAATGGTTTAAAAGGATGCCGGAAATGTGCAAAAACTGCTGTTATGACTTGGATACGGACAGCGGCAACACGGCGCCCCCCCCCAAAGCTCACCGGCCGTCTGGCCACTAGAGGGCAGTGTGCACTCGTCTACGTGGCTCACTTTTGGCATGTCCTTGTCTCCGTCTGCTAAAATGAAAAACCTCTAACTGCTGTAATAAATTTGGCTAAATTAGCTGCTAAATGGTTATCTCAAGTAATATGTATTTGCATTAATCATCTTGCTCTAAACCAGAACAAGCCAGAGTCCTAAAGACGTAGTAAATTCATATTGTCCATTTAATTACGGCTAATAAGTGCTTCATATACAATAGTTTCATGAAGTACATTTTGATTTTTTTTTGGGGGGGGATGGATGGGTGAAGGGGAATCACTTTGGAAAAGAGCCGTGTCTCAGGCTGTAGAAACTCTTCCCATCATGTCCTGAGCCACTCTCCTGCTTCTGAGAGTGGTCTCAATTCAAACCTCCTCTTGTTACCTCTATGAATATACTTGCTTTCATGTTTTCTTCTCCTCTCCCTTTTTTTCTCCCAATACACTAAATGCATGGTTGTAAAGTTTAATAATTATGTTGGCACTGTTGCTTGAAAAAGGCTCACTTATGAGTGTTTCATTTGTGGTAAGTTCCATTCTGAAATTACCGCACAGTTTAGGGTATTCTAAGGTCCGGAACTGTCACCTTCCCTGGGTGTCAAGGCTCCACAGGTAGCATTGTACTCTCCTTTTGTAGGCAATTGTAAGTTCTTCCATTCTGCATGCATGGCTTCCCAGGCTACAAAACTTCGTGGTGAAGCTGAAAGCAGTAAAATACTAACTCTGCCGTACAGCTCTTCTGTCAAACCATTGTTGCATGCAACAAGATGTGCTTTTATTCAGAGCCTCTCAACCTGGTTAACTATTAATCGAGGAATGATGGGTTATGTAATTCTGTCCACTCTTTTCGCAGAGAAAACTTACAGCATTCCAAACAGTGGTTGGTGGTATATTTCTATCTGCTTTGTATCTGGAAAAAAGGGCAATTCCAAATGGTTCTAGTATTTTTTTTTTTTTTTTTAAATACAAAGGCAAAGAGACTAAGAAACTCCTTTTGAGAATCACATGAAGAAAACATTGAGATGGTGGTCAGGTCAGCTCAGTCTGGTTGGGAATTCTGGACTGGAATTTGACCAAAAGCAGGCAGGCAAAACTTAAAAACAAAACAAAACAACAACAACAACAACAACAACAACAAAAACCCTTAGTATCCCCAGAATACAGAGTATAGACAGAGGCAAAAGAATAAAGAGATTGTAAAATCAAATTAGAATTTGTGAATCCACATAAAGATACCCCTGCCCTCTTTCCTAATGATACTTACTCTTACTCAAAGCAAGTAGACAAGCAAAATCTCAACTGTGAAATGGATATCCTGCAAAACATCTGCCTCCCTGGTGGTTTTCAGGTATGTGCTGTAAAGGGGGATGAAATGCTTATTTGCTAACGGGCTGATATGGTGTCACCTTTTAGAGATAAGGCAGGATGACTCAGTGTGCTTAAATGCATCTGTGTTTTCTGAGAAGACAAATACTAATTTATTAGGGCCCATGAATGCATGCACACAGCCTTCCTTATCAAACCCAGGCTGAGGCCATCTAGCAGAGAGGAGACCTGAATGAAGGAGAGGCAGGACAGGTGAGTTTTGATGTGAGGAGGTGGCTGTAAAAGGATCGAAGGGCAAGGGGTTTTCTTAGGGAGTCAGGGAGCTATCTGATTGCCCCTCAGTTACCTTGGTGAATATCAATCAAGAAGCAGGTTTCAGAGGCCTCCTCAAGCCATTGAAGAAGGCAAGTTTGATCTAACCCACATTTACCCTGGGCTAGTCTGATAAACAGAACTCTGAAAGGGTAAACATTTTAGCATGGTCACAAGTCTGTATTGAAGATTTGTGTTTTGTGAATGAGACCCCCATGCATCATTAGGAATCTAGATAACTACTGATAGTGTATGAAATTAGCTACCACTAAAGCATGAAAAAGTTGACCAAAGTCAGTGCCCAAGTTGTTTTTCAGGAGGTCTCATAAAAGAAGTCACAATGGAATTTTACTTCTTTTAAAATGAACAAGGAATAATTTTTGCTTGGGTCTCCAGAATATAAATTTATGACTTTGGGATGAAGCTTATTTCTTGAAAAAAAAAAATCATACTGGCAAATCAGTTGGATCATTCCAGCTGCGCCAGAGGCAGGATCTGACAGCTTTTCCTGAGCTCATGTGGTCCTAATCAGCTCAAGAAGAAAAGCCACCTTGGTGCCAGTTTGAAAGAGATTTTTAGTGAGTAATAAATTAGAGAACTTGAAAAACACACAAAAACTTTTTTTTTGATTCTCTTTAATCCAGTGGATGTTTTTTTATTTTCAAGTTTTAAGTTAATATAACACAGAGAAATGAGAAAATATTTGTCAATTTCATAACACCCCTTTTGTGGGGGAAAACCAGAATAAAGCACAATGTCAGTTATTTGACATGAAGTCCTTAAAAATAGTTAATTGTCCCTAGAAAAGAGATAGACACTCATCAAACTTTTGAGCCCAGGAGTAAGTTCAAACCATCGAGGGAAGGAAACAGACGGAGAGAAATAGACATGTGGATATTTTTACCTTCACACCCATGAGATATGGTCTAAGTACTCCTAACACACAATGGCTTCTTTTTGGTTTATTCCAAAGTTTCCTTTTTGCTGTCCAAAATTTTTGGGTGGAGCAGTTGTGTGTCCTTCAACTGAATTCACTGATCACAAGATAACTTCTCTGGAGTTAGGTCTTTAAGGGTATTCGATAGGAATGAGTTTTTATTTAAGGATCTTGAAATTTTTAAGTAGCCTCTTTTTAGTTTTCACATCTGAATGGACCAGACATGACTGAGCATCCCTCTGCTACCACACAAGAATATGTTCCTTATTAATCTAGAGTGTAACTGGTTGCTTTGTCTCTTAATGCCCTAAGGAAAGCCAAGCTACTTAGTGTCACCCTATCCTCCAAGGTGAAGGTTCCTGAGACCTACAAACTGTGCTCTTTGGTGGACAGAGATGACCTTCTGCTTAGGAGAAGAATACAGCAGAGATGAACAAAGAAGTCTGAAATTCTTCTTAGTTGAGCTGTACCAGTCCTGCTCATTGACAATTAAGAGAACCATGAGTGTCTCTTTGGCTTTTAGTCAAAATATTACTGACTCCTAAGAAGATAGTTTGTTCAATCAAAGAAAATAAAGTGCTTACATTTTAGAGCATGTGACTTTTTACATTCACTCCCTCCCCCTGCCCCCCCCCCAAAAAAAACCCCAACTGGATGCTAAGTTTTATTGAATATGCTTTTAAAATGTCACCTGGTCTGTTGGTTCAAGCTTAGTGGTTAGCATACAAGAAATGTTCTGCTTGTAGAGAATAATCACTCTTCCCCAAACCCGATGAGCTTTGTTGCTGTAGCACACACCCACAGCCCTGTACGCAGTTCCCAACAGAGGGATTTCAGTTTTCCTTGGGAAAACTTTGTCCACAGACATAGACTGATGACTGAAAGGACATAAAGGAAGCCAGTGTCTGCGGCGGGAACATAATTCTGTTAGTAAATCAAAACAAATCAGTACAAGTTTGCCTTCAGAAATATGAAGGAAAAAAGAGAACATGGTCTCTTCCTGTTGGGCTGTTCTACAAAATCAAAGCCAAAGAGTCTAAATAGTGAGTTAGTTGTGTGTCAAAAAGAAGGAAGCAGTCGAATGCAGTTTGCAGAGGAGATGAAGAACACATATCAAAAGCGGTCTTTTAGCAGAGTGTCTCACAAAAGGACATTTTAGTGGTTTGCATATGCATTAAAAAGCTGCAATACTTGGTGTATTCAGGTAAGTATAGAAGAAATAGGAAATGGTGAGATCATCGGAGATTCCACACTTCACATTCACACAGCTGAACAAAGAGCTTCATTATCGTCACGGCAATATGAGGACGCATCTGCCGCGCCACTCACCCCCCCCCCCTTGAGGTACCTTCATCAGTGGCTGCAGAGCGCAGAGAA